GCCGCCGCCTCCCGGCCGGCCGACCTCTCCGACCTCGCCGGTCCACGTGACCCTGCCCGGCTCGACGTTGCGGGCCTGCTCGGCGGCGCGCCTCAGGGACGCGGCGGCGTCGGAGGCGATGCGCTCCGCCTCCCTGCGGAGGAACTCGCGGCTGGCCTGGGGCTTCTTGCTGCCGCCGCCGCCGCCGCCGGGCCCGTCCATGATGTTGTCGTGCTCGAGCGCGCTGTGAACCGAGCGCGAGAAGATGCCCTCCATGATGCGGTCCTCCTCCTTGGCCGGGGCGGTGGCGGTCGCGTCCTTGAAGGCCTCCAAGCCCGCCACGCCGGCGATGCCGCGCAGCTCCGCCTCGTCGTCCTTGTGCTGTGCCTTGTCAGGGGCCGCAGACGGGTTTCTTTGCATGAATGGGTGGGAGGGAAGCAGGTAGGCATCGGAGCCTGGTGCTATCACGCTCGTCGGCCCTGGTGCCTCGCCGGTCTTGGTTGCAGGTGCTCCTGTCTGGGCGCCTGCGTTTTCGGATGCCTTGACTTGGCTGTCTTTGAACATTTTACCCGTTTCCGTGTTCCCCTCCTCGTAGGAAGCCAGAGTGAAGAGGTTGTGGAGATCCTGCATGGTCGCGAAGCCGTTGCGCTGTGAGGGGTCCTTGAGCACCTTGTTCGTCAAGAACTGCTTGAAGATCTGCCGCTGGTAGATCTTCTCCTCTATCGTCCCGGCCGTCATGAGCCGGTAGATTGTCACTTCTTTCTTCTGGCCCAGCCTCCACGCCCGCTCTCTGGCCTGGACGTCAGTGGACGGGTTCCAGTCCGGGTCGAAGATGATGACACGGTCGGCGCCCGTCAGGTTGACTCCGAGTCCGCCCACCTTGGTGGTGAGGAGAAAGATGTCTAGCTCGGGTGTGTTGTTGAACTGGTCTACTAGCGTCTGACGATCTTTGATGGGAGTCCTGCCGTCCATGCGGAGGTATCGGATACCATCTTGTCGCCGCACAAAGGCCTCCAGGATGTCCAACATCTGCGTGCCCTGGGAAAACAGCAGCGTTTTGTGGCCGAAGCGCTTCCACATGTGCAAAAGAGCCTTGACCACCTGCATTTTTCCCGACTTGCTGGCACTGCCCCAGCGATATGACGGGTCGCCACGCACGCTAGGGTCGAGGAGATCTGGGTGATTGCAGACTTTGCGGAGCTGGTCGATTCCGAAGAAGGACTTTCTAGTGCCATTCAGAATCTGGTCCATTTCTTTTGATGAAAGAAACTGCTCGTAGGCACTCCTCTGGATCTGGGTCAGCCGGCAAAACAGAACCTGTTCGCTCTTCTTTGGCAGGTCGGCAGCGACGTCGGCCTTGACGCGTTGAAGCAGGTACGGGCTGATGGCGTCTTTGAGAGTTTCGGCACACTTTTGGGCCGTCATGATCTGCAGGTTTGTAGCGTTGGCATAGCCGCCGAGCCGGATGGGTATCTCGATGTTGTTGCGGAACTCATGGAGGGTGCCGAGACGCATGGGATATATAAAGTCAAAGAGGGACCACAACTCGACGAGGTTGTTCTGAATGGGCGTGCCAGAAAGGATGACCCTGTTGGCCGTTCGAAGCTCCTTGCAATACACGGTGAGGGCAGTGTTTGGATTCCGGATCTTGTGGCCCTCATCCAGCACGGCATAGTCCCACTCCACCGGGATCAGGATGCCACCGTAGGCTTGCAGACCAGCGTATGTGGTCACGAGGACGTGACCGTCCTTGACGACGCGGTCGACAATCTTCTTTGCCGCCTTCGCGCCCCGCTTCTTCTTGGGCGCCTCCTCATCGCTAGACGAAAGCTCATCGTCCTCCAAGCGACCCTCGCTCCGAACATCAAGCATGCCACTGCCGGAGGAGTGTAGGATGGATACTCGAAGCGGGGGCCACCATCGATGAAACTCATTTACCCATTGCCGCAATAGGGTGGCCGGGGCCACGACGATGACGGGACGGGTGAGCTTTTGGCTGTAGTGAAGGGCGGCCACGAAGGATATCAGCTGGACTGTCTTGCCCAGCCCCATCTCGTCGCCAACAATGCCGCCGACATTCTGCTCGAAGAGCTCGGACAGCCAACGCACTCCAGTCTTTTGGTAATCAAACAGGGCTGGGTATATGTCGCCCGGGAGCTTGAGCCCGTTGTCAAACTCATGGTCCGGCTGGTCCGGCGAAGGTTTGAACCACTCATCGATGGACTTGTCGTCCACAGCCTCCTCGCCGCGGGCAATCTGACGACGCAGCCGAGCATTCCTCCTCCGCTCGACCCACGTAGACAGCCTCTTCCGGTAGACGCCCTCGTTCCCGTCGTCTATCCCACTAAGATCGACAGTGACTTCATCCTCCTCGGATGCTGCGGCGCTCCTTTTGGCCTTTTTGCGCTTTGACTTGACCGGGGTGGCAGTCATGTCTGCGCTGTCGTAAACAGCATCCGAGGCGGCATCCTGGGGAGACGCGGGCCCTGATGACGGCTGAAAGTCATCATCGGAGGCGGCAGAAGACGCGGCAACCTTGCGCTTCTTACGGGGCCGAAGCGAAAACTCGGACTCTGCGGCCGATGGGGCCGATGGGGCCGAGGGGGCCGATGGTGGCTCGGAGCTGTCGGCAAAGCCGGGGGCGCGCAGGTTCTGGTGCGACCGAGGACCCCGATCGTCATCGCCCTTTTCCAGCTGCACTGCGGTGGCCTCATCCTCTGCCTCGATGATGGCGTCTGCGAGCTCTCCCTCGACACCTTGGGGCCTTGGTCCGCCGAACTTTGCAAAAGGCGTGATCTTGCCAGTCCGGATGAGGTAGTCCCGCTGTGTCTCGCCCGTCAGCTTCTTGGTCCCTTTGCCGTCCGAGGGGCCGGCGGCGCCCTCTTCCTTGTGTCTTTGCTGGATGCGCTGGCTCAGGTCCAGGATGTCCCTGTCGATCTGGGCTATGGCGGCCTTGGTTTCCTCAATCTCGTTGCGGGTGCGCTGGATGGTTGCGGCAGGGAGGCCACGGCTCTCGGCCTTGCGAAGGAGGGCTTGGAGCTTTTCAGAAAGCTTTTTCTGGTCGGCTTCGGCCTTGACAATGCGCTTCTGGTCCTTTTCGTCCTCGGCATCTATGAGAGCGAGATTGGCCTGGTGCGTGATGTCGCGCGCAAGCTCATCCTGGTCGCGCACATTCTCGGTGAGGCCGGCGAGGGCCGCGGCCTCGTCCAATTGGGCCTCGTCGACAGCGGACATTCTGGCCAGGTAAGTGTGGACGAGACGGGCGCAGAGCGGAGGATCAATGGTGTTGGAGAATGGCGCAACCCCAGGAAGCCTATCTAGCCCGGAGAATCGACGCCAAAGCCCAGCGACCACAATTAAGGCATCCAAGTTTCAAGCTCAACATGTAGACAGCCAAGTCTGCGAGTTTTGCAAAGATTAGAGAAGCGGCTTGATGACGCAGTTGCCTGGAGTGGCGATGGAGGCGTCAGAGGTTGGGCGCGACACTACCACGACGACACGTGACGTGCCAGTGCGCGCAGCTCGGAATTCCGAGTTACTTCCGTTTGGGGTGAAGCTTGCCGAAAACAAAACTTGGAGACGGCGCAGTGTTTTTATTTCTTCGTATTCTCGTGTCTTTTCCCAAGTATATTCTTCTTCTGTGTCGTTCCTTTCCTCTGTTTTATCTCTTTCCCAGCTTGTAAAAAGTGACGATAACTTAACCCATCTCCAACTATAAAGCCACGACAACCCCTTCACCCACCCCGCCACTATAGCTCATCCTTGTCGCTCACGACAGCGGTAGCCTTTGCATCCGCCGCCGTCTCTGCCTTGCCCTCCGCAGCCGCCGCCGCCGCCGCCCGCGACACCTCTGCGTCGTTGGCGGCGACGGCGGCGGCCACCTCTGCGTCCTCGCGCTCCCTCTCGAGGCGGGCGACGCGGCCCTGCTCCGTCTCGCGCAGCACCTGGGCCTTGATCTTGAAGGTGATCTCCCTCGACTCGCCCGCCAGGTCCGGCTCGGTCCGCTCAACCACCCAGCCAGCCACGCCGCCGTCGGTCGGGCCGGGCCGGTAGCGCGACAGGTCCGACAGCTCGGCCTCGCACGCGCTGCCGCCCGCCACCCACAGCGGCAGGTTGTGGTAGACGGCGCCCGCGGCGAAGAGCACCACCAGGTTCTCGTCGGGTGGCAGCCTGGCCGCCTCGGCGTCGACCTCCGGGTCCTCGCCCACCGCCGTCGCCGCCGCCGCCGCCGCCGCCGTCGGCCTCGGCCGCGGCGTCGCGGTGCCCTTGATCTTGATTCCCGGCAGGTCCTTGTGGTAGACGCCGTAGAGGAACTTGTCGTCGGCGCTGCCGCCCTCCTCCCCGGCCCTCTGGATCCAGCGCTTCACGGCCTCGGGCACGTCGGCGTAGCTCATGAGGATGACGTCGCGCTTGGTGCCGTGCGCGTCCACGCCGTTCCAGCTCCCCGGGAACGGGCGGCCGCCGAAGAAGTACTTGAGCGCCTTGAACCACGGCTTGAGGCCCCTGGGCTCCGGGTCCTGCAGCTCGCTGAGCAGGTGCTGCCGCGCTTTGAAGGTGCCCGTCGCCTCGCACGTCGCCTCGAACCCGGGCGGCGCCGCGTGGCCCGAGAACGGGTCGCCCCAGGGGAAGTCGTCGGCCACGCGGTTGACCACGATGTCGGCCGCGCTGGCCACCGCCGCCGCGGTGCCGACGGCGACGGCGACGCTGGAGAGGAGGCGCATGTCGGGGCTCGGGGTGGTACGGGGTGTGTAGTCTGGAGGGTATGGCTGGTAGATGCTGGTTTGGGTAGATCTAGTTGGCGTAGACAGGCTGCTGATCCTGGATGAGACTTTTCCGTCTTTGATATTCATGCAGCAAAAAAAGAGAAACCAACACAAAGAAAACTGCAGAACAGAGACTCATATACACAACAGCCAATGTGGACAGATTTTCCGAACCGAACAGCAGCGCATCTTCAATTGGGGGGTTTTCTGTCCTCTTCGGCGCAGACCATCCGCGCATCCGCATTCCGAACTCCCCTTTTCGGGTCGGTCGATCGCCTGAGGGGGCTGGCTGGAAAGCGCGCCCGCATTTAGCCTGGTCAACCGCCGAGGCACCAGACCAGACAGACCCCTCCCCCCTCTGCGGTAGAATGCAACAATGAGAGAAAGCTGGAGATGCCACGGTATACGAGTACCTATGGGGGAGCATGCGAGAGAAGGTCGGTGGGACTGCATGCCTTTTGTACCAAACACATATACGTATCTAGGTATTCACAGTAACCAGCCCACGCCGTTTCTTGCACAAGAAAACAAGCCATGATGGGATGCCACCAAATGCCCCAAGACCAATCCCCGTTCGGGGGACCTCGCTTCGTCCTCGGCTGTCCACAGTCACCGCCGTCCCGCGTCTTGGCACTGCGTAAGCGAGTAGCATGGTGCCCTTTCTGTTTTTTTTTTGTTTTGTTTTTTTTTACCTCGGGAACGAGGTGGACGGGATCCCACTCAGCCTTGCTCGTCAGCCGTGCCAAACCGCCAGTAGCCTTGCAGCCAACACCAACTGCCAACACTTGTCTCGCTCCTTCCTCAAGCGCAACCAACAGCCCCGTAGACCCCCCTGTCCGGCTCGATGCACGGGCGGGCCCTCACTTCGGTTCCAGCAGTATACCAAACAAGTTTGATGTATGGCCAGCACTCCGCTCCTCCACCGCAACGGTCCGCGCGGGGTGTCCGTGAGCAATCATGTGCGAACTGCAGATCTAGCCGAAAGATTCTGGACTATATGACATGATAGCGACCATATAAACGTTTTTTTCTTACCCCTTTAGACCGCTATGGGCCATGGGCATATCTCTTCCTACCTAGGTAAACGAGTGGGACAAAGCCCGTGCCTCTAACACGGGGAGCCCTCTGTGAGATGGCATACAAGATCCCATCGAGATCTGCGCGAGCCCCTCATCGTGTTTTATTGACAGCGACCATGGCAATATCTCAAGAGCGGTCCTAAACCCCCCGCTCGCTTTTCTCGATATAGACATATGCCGGGCGACCACATCCGCCCGTCTATATCTGCCATCGCCGAGCCGTTCCGGCATGCTCCCGACCCGGCCGCCCGGTTGGAGATAAGCGTGACGGTCCGTGCAATACTTCAAGGGACAGGCACGGGCACGGGCACATGTTGGACGTTGGGTCTAACAGCATCAACAGCTTTGGCGCGCACACAGCATGCGGCCCACCCCCTCCCTAAAAGGTACATCGAGGTGGCCCCTAAAGGTACATGCCCGTCTTGTACACTGCTAACAGAGCTATTATTCCCCTCCCCGGACGCAGTGGGGTTTGCGGTGGCGGCGTGGAGAGGGCTTGCTTTGTCGTACTGTGCTTACCTTGCAAGGGGGCTCGATGTTGGGCTTCCTCACTCCCACCCTTGCTAAGCCCACAGCGGGCTAGACCAGCTGAGGCCCTGAAGAGAAGCTGCTTGCTCCACGGCAGTGCGGCAGGTAAAATGCCACCATGTCATTAGGGGTGGAAGGGGAGGGGAGAGACTGCAAGGGGGAGCACCCAAGGGGTGGGGTGGGGTGTTCACACACAATACACAGGACACACAAGCACAAAAAGCCGCACGTACTAGCAGCACACACACTCGCGCGCGCGCACGCAGATACGGGACACACAGACACAGACGCCATCCTGACCAGGCTGGCGGTTCCCAGCGAGCAGAGCGGGTCGGTAGGGGGAAGGATCAGGCGAGAGGGGGTGACGGCATGTATCCGCAAAAAAAACCCCCAACGACGGGGATGGCCACTGCAAGATACTGGCCAGTCAGGTCTCGCAGGACATCTGCCGCTCCCCTTCTGGTCCTTTTGTGGCTATTTGCCTGCCGCCACCCACCTCGCAGCAAGCGCCCGTCAGCACATGTTCCTCCACCACACTGCACACACACGCACTCTCTCTCTCTCTCACTCACTCACTCACTCACTCACTCACACACACACACACACACACACACACACCGCCACTTTCTCCTCTCCAGCCTCTGTCGCCCACGGGATCGGGAAGGAAATGGCTAATCAGAAACTGCACATCATCCTCTGGGCCTCGCGTCGCGCAGTGGGGTGATGAGTGGTGACACCCTCCCCCGGGCCGGCATCAAGGGGAGAGAGGGCAGAAGAAGGGGGGAAACAAAGAAAAGAAAGGCGTGCGATAGGGCGGCACGGCGGGCGGGAGTGGCTCCCCGCCTAGCTTCTAGCAGCTTGGCTTTCTTTTTGTTTGGCCGCCCCAGCCCGCCCGGCGGCGGGCGGGCGTTAGTCGTGGCCAGTGAAGCCGGCCGCCCCCCTGCGAGTCATCCCTCCCTGGAATGTGAGTGATTTTGCCGTGCAGGATCGCAGGCTAGGAGGTTCCAAACGAGAGGCCACGAGGTAGCCGGCGGTGAGACATGGCTTGCATGGGTGATGAGGGGGGTTAGAGAGAGCGAGAGCAGGGGGGGAATGTTTGCTTCTTTCCCCAGCCGCCACCCACCACCACCACCACCACAACGTGCATGGCCTGACAGTGGTATCCTGCACTTTCCGCCGCAGCGGCAGCGGGCGGCGGCGGCGGCGCAGGAGGACACGCCCTACTTGTGGCCCATCCTATCCGCCTCTCGACCGCTTTGGGCCGGCTGCTGGCCGAGACGGAAAGAGGCAAATACCACGGTCCCAAGCGAAGGGGACCTATGGCAAGGCTTGATGGCGTTAGCAGTGGCGATAAGGTGTGCCCAAGCAGGGGGAGGGGGGGCGTGGACGTCGTCGTCGACGGCACATAGCGTGATATGTCCTGGGTCCGATATATGTAACATGGGTGAGAGTCCTGGGGGCTTCCGTTGTTCCCGGGATCCTCTCGCTCTGAGTTGTCACGCATTGGCCCCGTCTGTCCGGCAAGGGTTTTCCCTGATTTTGGCCTCTCTGGGTCGTAGCGCTGCAGGAAGTCAGAGTTGAGCACACCAACCACTTAACGCGGCCCAATATAGGCATTATATCATGCGATCGATATAGTTGAGGGGCGCACCCCGACCCCCCCCCCTTTTTTCCCCTAATTTTTTTTTGTTTCTTTTTTCCCTTGTCCTCGTAGCCGGCTGCTCTATTCCTTGCGTGGGTTGGGTTTTTCTGTCTTGGCTGGATCATGTTCGGGCCATGACGACAGCAAATGGCGCATACTGCAGCCACCCCCCAACCCAATGGCGGCCGTGGTACCCTTGAGACCCGAGGTCGCGTGTATCAGCACTCTGCTGTCGCAGAAGGAGATGGTCTCAGATAGAGTGGCGGCCTCGGCCAGGAAGGAAGGCCAAGGACGAGACCAGCGCAGGCCTGATCTACCGGCCTGCCTTGGCCGGGCTGCCGTTTCGAGGCTGCCAACTTCTTTTTCCGGGCAGATGCCCAGCTGATGCTACCACATCGGGCTCCAGAGATGATAAGAAACCAAACGGCCGGGAAATGGCAATGCAAGGCAAAGGCAGGATGAGAAGAGAAAAAAAAGGAGAGAGGAAAACGTCATCAAAACAGAGGCGCTTTGGAAATCCGGATCCGACCCAGCTGCCCCCAAGCATTCGAACTTGGGCGCCCCCCACACTGTTTGAGCAGGTCCAAGCGACACCCCCAAAGCCCGACAAGACGAGGGGATGGAGGAGCCTGGAAGGCATATCGGGACTTGGGGAAGTGACGGGGTCGCCCTGGCCAGGTGAGCGAGACAGGTGCGGCACAGAGGGCTGCGGTTCAGACGGCCTCTGACTCCACAGTTTGTTTTCGATTCGGCAGGTCTACCTGCTCGGGCGCCAGGTGGTGGTTAGTGGGATGCTCATCTGTATACGACTTGATGTGTAGGAGCGTGACAGACGCGACCGGAGACGCGTTGGTGGACCCCTCGTCCTCTATTTTTGTTTTTTGGGGGGTGCCAGACAGTAGCAACGGCAGCAGCACGATGCAGTCAGTCCCAGTGCGTCGCCACTGTACCTGCGACGAAATGGTCATCGTGCATCACCTTTGGCCGGCCAGACGGGGGAGGGATGGGGGGGTGGAACACCTGTGATGACACGCTGCCCTTCCCATATCAGATCTTGGCTAGCCCCGGCTCGGGCTGTTTCTCTCCTTCCTCCCCGCCCTCGCCTCACCGGCTGGGAGATTGTCGATCCAAGGATTCGTAGCGGGCAATGACAGCCCTCCCGGCCTCAGGTGCCAAGGCCTCAGGTGCCGGACTCTTGCCTGGGTGGGGTCTGGCGCATCTGGGCAACGAGGCCAGGGAAGGGAAGGGGGGCAGTCGGGCCCCGGCGATGGCCTAACTGTACAAGCAACCACGCTGCATGCGGACGTGCGCGGGCAGGGCGGCGCACATCGCCTCGGCCCCCCGTCGTCAGCCAGGGGTGATCCTATCCCGTGAGGCTGGCCCTTTAGCGGCCAGCCCCAGCCCAACTGCCTCCGTTCCGCCGACGATTGGGCTGAGATGGTGGGCCCTTTTTTTTTCTTCCTTTCTTTTTTTTTCTCTTGGCGTGGCGAGGGTGAGCGAGGAACAGAAGCGAGGGCTCAGGCCTTGGCTTGGTTTGTTGGTCCTTTTGCTGTGCCGGAAGGCTGCCGGCGACGCCCTTGGATAGCCCTCGCCGCTGAACGCGTTCCACCCTCTTGGGCGGGGCGCGCGTGGCCCCCGGCTCCTAGCCACTCTGCACCGTTGTCATTATCGGCATGGAACACCCATGCTCGCCTGCGGGCGGTTGCCGGGAGGAGTGACGCGAGCAGCAATCGCCTCGGTGAGGCCAGGGCAGCCAACGACGGCGCGGCCTTTGAGCATCAGAGCCCGTTCTCCAGCAATTCGAATGCGACGTTTTTTTTTTGTTGCCACTCTTGTTTTTGTTCTTGTTGTTTTCTTTCTTTTTTTTCTCTCACCTTTTTTTCTTGTTCCAGAGGTAATCTCCGGGCGGTTGGGTGGAGGGTTGCGATGCGAGGTGGATCCCAGGACTTCCTTTTTTTTCGTCTGCTTCTTCTCCCCTCAGTGGGTGTCCTGGTTAGGATACCGATGCCAGCCAAATGTCCATGAGGCTGTCCGTCCCGTCAATCGTCTAATCTCTCTCTGCGCCTTCCCTTGCGTGCCTGCGTGCCTGCGTGCCTGCGTGCCTGCGCGCCTGCCTCAACCATCCTGCCCGCGTCTCCACAGTGCCCATTCACGCCTCAACCTCATCTTCCGGCACTGTCCCTTGGCACTTCACGAGCTTATCTCCATAGGGCTCGGCTGATGGGAGGGTCCTGCCCTTGACTTCCCTTGAGTGGCCTTGTGTGTGGTTGACCTCAACTCACCTCATACTATACCGGGGCGATCCATCGCCCACAACACTCCTGATTCGCTGGCCATATGACGAGCAGAAAAAGGAGAGGGAGAGAGAGAGAGAGAGAGAGAGAGAGAGAGAGAGAGAGAGAGAGAGAGAGAGAGAGAGAGAGAGAGAGAGAGAGAGAGAGAGACGA